AGTTAGTTAACAGTTAGTTAGCAGTTAGTTAGCAGTTAGTTAACAGATAAAGTTAGTTAACAGTTAGTTAACAGTTAGTTAGCAGTTAGTTAACAGATAAAGTTAGTTAACAGTTAGTTAAGTTAGTTAACAGATAAAGTTAGTTAGCAATTAGTTAACAGATAAAGTTAGTTAACAGTTAGTTAACAGTTAGTTAACAGATAAAGTTAGTTAACAGATAAAGTTAGTTAACAAATAAAGTTAGTTAGCAATTAGTTAACAGGTAAAGTTAGTTAACAGAACTCACTTGAATCTCGCCATGTTCTTCTCAAACTCTTCTTTCTCTCGCTGGAACTCGGTGATGTACTTTTGCTGCAGAAATAAAATAAAGAACATATTTGAATCAGGAGTAACTGGGTGGGTTTGCTCACTCTGGACTCTGGAATCTGATCCAGACCTTCTTTTTGTCAGGCAGCTCCTTGTACTTCTTGGACAGGATCTTGGTCAGGTCCAGGTTGCTCATCTCCGGGTGGATTTTGGCGTATTTGGCTCGTTTCTCCATAAAGAAGCGGAAGTACGGAGTCAGAGGTTTCTTGGGGAAATCTGGATGAGTCTGAATACAAGAGGGGTCAAGTTAGGGGTCAGAGGAACAGACCCTAAACAAAACCTGGTCTCCTGAGCTGGATCAGCTGACTCACCTTCAGTTTCTTGCCTTTGTATGGATTCTTCACAAACTCTGTGGCGTCTACAATGAGCTCCGTCATCGTTCTGTACTTACGAACCTGAAACACAGAAACAGAAATAACCAATACAGCCAAACCATTGGCTAATCAATAACATCAGAGGTTTGTGTTTGGGGTTCCTCAGGGATCTGTTCTATTCAATTCAATTCAATTCAATTCTGTTCAGTTCTGGGTCCTTTGTTGTAGAATTTACAAATCTACTGTAGTACACCGAATGTTAATAATTATATTCAACAAACTAAACCGCAATATTTTATAAAGACTGCAAAAACTAAAAATAACATCAACTATGAATTCAAATATAAAAACTATTAATCAAGCCTTTATTTCTTATTTAATTTTCATGAAACAGCAGTTATACCTTTAAAAAGAGACAAAAAATAAGTTTTAATTTGAAAAACAGTAAAGGTATTCTACTGTTGCTCAATTTTAAACTATTAATTCACCATTCAAGCTCTTAATGAACCAATGAAGCAGGGCTTAAGGGCTTTGAATTTAAGGTTGAATGATGAGTTTAAGGTGGAATGATGGATTAATGGTTTAAAATTGAGCCATAGTAGAATACCTTCACTGTATTTTCAAATTAAAACATCCTTTTTGTGTCCTTTTAAAACGTTTAACTGCTGTGTCCTGTTTGGTAGAATAAAGATGGCCACCGTGGTCGGTACCTCAGAGGACACTTTCTGCCATTTCTGCCGGCACATGTCTCCGGTGAAGCTGCCGAAACAAACTTTCTCCCAGTCGAAGTGCGACTCTGTGGTTTTATACTTCATGCCGTCTCCGTCCGGCAGCAGACTGCGAATCCGCTCCAGCAGAGTCAGACAGTCCTCCTTACTCCACTCATCTAAACACAGAACACACCTGGACAGGTAAGACAGGTGCAACCTTCTCTTTAAAGGACCAGGACAACACTGTGCTCCCAGGGCAACAGGTGAGTTACAGGTGAGTGCGACAGGTGAGTGCGACAGGTGAGTAAGAGGTGAGTAACAGGTGAGTAACAGGTGTGTAACAGGTGAGTAACAGGTGAGTGCGACAGGTGACTGCGACAGGTGACAGCACTTTACCTGGCTCACTTTTGATCCTGGCGCTCTGAGCTCTGGAGACGCTGCTGCTGCCGTTCATCCTGCAGCGACTGACGGAGACTCCGCCCCCTCCCTGCTCTACACACACATTAACACAACTTTATTGACACACACACGACACCTGAACTGATCTAACTTCATGTCAGAGCTTTTTATCTGCATCACATGGTCTTCATCAGTGAGCTCAGTTGCCATGGAGATGTACTTTACAGTTCACTACACTTACTGAATAACTAGATTATTAATACAACATATAATCAGTAATTGTAGATCAAATACTTACTATAAAATTAATAGTATTAATATAACAGTTAAAGTAACTGTAATATTAATACTTTAACGTCTAATATTTAATACTAACTGAATATTAATACTTTAACTCTTCAATATTAATACTAACTGTTATATTAATACTAACTGTAATATTAATACCTAACTGTAATAATTAAGTACTAACTGATATTTTAATATAACTGTAATATTATACTAAACTGTTTATTAATACTTTAACTCTAAATTAATACTAACTGTTAAATATTAATACTTTAATCTAATATTAATACTAACTGTAATATTAATACTTTAACTCTAATATTAATACTAATGTAATATTTGAAACTAAATGTAATTAATACGTAATCCTCAATATTTAATTATTTTACTCGAATATAATATACTAACTGAATGATAATTACATAAACTGTATATTAATACT